AAGATAATGAAGGTCTATAGAAACCCAATACAGATAGGAGCACTAATGACAGAGATCCTCCAAGGGGATCCTTCAAGAGGATTTGCTCCACTGGGCAAAGAACCACAACGAACTGAGCCGCTTACTGAAGACAAACAGACTAAGGGAAGTTTAGTAGGATAAGAAACATAGAAATAGCAATTATGGCCAAATTATTCCTTGTAGCAATAATAATTGTAGTGATTATACTCTCTTTCTTTATTGGCTTGATTTATTTATATTTACATAAGCTAATGAATTATTTGTTTCTTTTTCCTTTCTTCATTGTCATGTTATCTAATACTAGTTATTTTAATCATAGTTACCTGTCTATTTCAATATTAAATTATAGGATTTCAAAGAGATAAATGTAACTCAGTTTAAGATGATTAGACATAATCTAGGGATAGTCAAAATGACTTATGAGACTTAAGTCTCCTCTTTGAGAAGATTGCTTGTTGGTCTTTAGTTGTTAAAAGAAGGTTGCATTGTTCTAATTAAAAGCATGATGTTATTTTATTCTACAATTTGAGGCTAAATGTGATAAAAAGAAATCAGCGTAGATGTCAAATTTCCAAAGGAGTGATGCTGATAGAGTCTTGTCAATTTAGTAGTATCTTGACTTCCCCCCCTTTTGAGCCTAGAAAATATGTTCCCTAAAATCTCCTTCCCTATATGGTTCTGGATTATAATTTTCCAATGAGAACAACTTTCTTGAGATTTAGAAGGTAGATGCAAAGCAAAGGAACTTTGGGAAAGTCCTTGAAATCCCATGTGGTGGGCTTCCAGATGTCTTCCTCAGTCAGCAATCACTGAGGTTTGAAAACTTCCCTTCGCTGCTTCTTTGCTTCAGTCTGACATTTGCGACTGTTTCTTAATTCCCCAGCCTTGGTCAAGACTGATACTTCCCCAACTCTTTCTATATTTGTGTAAACCTTTATTATTAAACCCAATTATACTCATTTATACTTCTGATATCACAACTGTCTTGAACAAACTCAGACATGCAGGGAGTGATCATCTATTGCTGTTTTATATTTAGCTGTGGCCTCTGCAACAGTGATGTTCAGTGATGTAATATGGCAAGTGGAAATTGGATACCAATTCTATGCAGTAAAACTAGAAAAAGGACCAGAATCATAAGCAGGTCTTGGGAAGAATAAGTAGGAAAATTAAAGGAAATCAGGTATATGAATCACGATAAAACATTAGAGAGCATTCAGGCATCCAGAGCTCACCCAAAGCACACTGATACCTCGCTGAAAGCATAAATAATTGTAGGCTTCACCTCCTGGTAGGAATGAGTGCAATTACTAACAGTCTCTAGAGCTTTTGTCAGAGAAGATTCACAAGAAATGCAGTTGCAGTTACAGACGAAAGGTATCAATGATGCTGTTTCAAAGGAATTGAAAAAGACATGGCCAAAATAGGGATACAAATGCACCTAGGGTTGTTATAGATCAGGACTAAAACTAGGGCAAAACTTATAATCCACAATATTCAATTAATATGCTAGATTATAACCAACCTTAATGAAATTAATAACCACTATATTACTTATTTTTCACAGAGAAAATATATTTCCCAACTCAAATCCATTTTTCAGGTCTACCCTGTGTATCTAATTTATAGTGCAGAGTTTCTCATTTAATACAATTTATATTCCTATTACTATTTATCAAGCAACCCTGAAACTGAAATGATTTATTTCACAAGACCCTTTTCTTATTCCATTTTATGGGTATAATAATTTGATTAAACTGTCAACTGTAAAAGTGATTAAGATTTATAGAACTTAGTAATTTGTCCTTTTTAATGGTAGAAACATTATACCATGGTCTATTTCCAGTGGAGTGACTGAATAGGGGAACAGCTATTTAAAAAAAGTTGCATAAGCAACTCTGATTTGTGTGTATGTGTAAATCCTAAGCCACTCTCAAACTTTAAAGGCTTCAGAGAAAAATAAACGGTTAATATTACAGCGTGGGCACACATTGATCCATTTAAATTAGCAGCCTTCAAAAATATTTGGGCATACTACCTGACTGTACTGACGGTAGATTCTGCCATGAGCTGGATTGGACAATAATCACAGAACCCACAGGAAGCAGTTGGAGATGCAACACTTTTTATTGGATTAAGGACTGTGTGAAAACACTGCCCAATTTCAACTGATAAACACACTTGCATGTATGCATGCACATCTGTATATATGACGCATACCACATACTCATACATACACATCATAAAATGAAAAGTGAGTCATACATATGTTATTTACTTCCAGCTGGAAAATCAGAGTAGTTTTCAGGTCACTTGATGTGACAGGCCTAATTGCAACAGGAGCTCCCCAGGCTCCTCCCACTTCTGCTGGCTCCTAGTCGTGCTCCCTTCAAATGGGTTCTGTTGACAAGACACCTTCTGGACATTTGCTGACAGGGACAAGTAGCTTATGGGTTTTAAGGGAAAAGGATTTGCTAAATAAAGCTTCAGTCGAAGGCTTCACCTCTGTCTCCCAGAGGTCAGGGTGCTAAAGTCCTCGGTAGCTATGGAAATCACAAGGTGAACCAATGAATTATTTACATTTTAGAGCTTGCTGCTTGACACTGATCCCAAGTTAAACCCAGTTAGGAAACTAAGCTCATGCAATTGTATTTTCAAAAGGAAAATGCAGAGTGAGAAAGCTTCTTTTTTTATAATCAAATAATTAGTGGTGGGTGTGCTTCTCTGATTTACTGTTAAAGACCAATTCTAGCCTAATCTAAACCTCAACACATCATCCTCATGAAATTAAGTCTACCAAGAGTCAAGGCTCTTTTTACGTGAATAGATTCTAAGTCTACCAAGAGTCAAGGCTCTTCTTATGTGAATAGATTCTATATGGCTTTAGGTCCTTGGCTAATATGACATATGACGTATTCAGATGTCTTTATTTCCTTTTGATTCCTTCCTTTGGTCTAGCACATGACTTATTTAGGTTGTAGGAGGTGCTGAATACCAGTGAAAAACACCATTTTAAGATGGAGATGACTTCATTTGGGCTTGATTCTTAAAAGTTTTATTGGTTTTATTCTATCCATGTCTTTGAACAAAGTTGACAAAGTTGATTCTTATTTTGGCTAATGATCTTTAAAAAGAAAGGAGCTTCATTTAGGACTTCTTTGCAAGTGACAAATAGCCAACCTGACTTTCCTTGAGCAAAATGGGGAAGTTATCCATTATTCTAACTGTAGGAAGGTCAGAAGCAAGAGGAGGGGAAAAAGGCGGAGGTGCTCACAGGCCCAGAGGGCTGGCTCTCTCTCCCTCTTTATCCTTGTCAGTTGCATTCCCTCCTACACACTGGCTTTGTCTAGGTGAAGGACATGACTGCCATGGCTCCAGGTTTACATTCTTACTGCTTGTGTACCTAACAGGAAAAGGCTCCTTACTCACAAGTATGACCCTCAGGGAAGAATTCTAATTGGGTAATAATACCTAATTCTAAGGCATTATTGGCTCAGCTTTGGCCAGGTATGTCTCCCTTGACCAAACATTGTGTCTGAGGAGCTATAGCCATGTCGGGAGATGGCAGAAACCACTTCTTCATGACAGAGTGTAGAAGGGAGAGGAAGGGAATTTCTCTCCTCAGAAGGGGAGTGGTGTTACCAGAGCAAAGGAGGAATTTTGAATCCCAAAAATAATAATTAATATTCTCAAGCAAATTTACAATCTCGTAATTGCAAGGTTAAGTCCTGGGCTTTAGAGTCACACAATTATGAGCTCAAATCCCAGTTCTGACTACCTCCTGTTTTCTTCGACATGTTATTTACTACTTCTGAGCCTCTATTTTCTCATCTGTAAATTAGGACTAGAATACCGAAAGCAGGTTTGGGGGATTTACTTGAAATAATGGCCACATATTACCTAATGGACTTCCTATAAAATGCTCAATAAAATATAGAATACTATGAAATGCCTAATAAACTTGGCTATTATCTCAGTGCCCTGTGGTTTTTGTTTCTGGTTGCTCTAATAACCCCACTAACCAGATTTGGCTTTTGGAACCCATCTGAGAGGTAATTTTCTGGGCTTATGTTCCTACTGGGATATTCCCAGAGCTCTCTCATAAAAAATGATGTATTTGTTTATCAAATAATTTTTAACACCAAATATTCATCCAGCTTTGTGTTATCTGTTGGAGGGAATGTCAAAGAAATAGAAGGTATGCTTTCTTTCTCATAGACTTTTTTAGGTAATAACTAATAGACACAAAATAATTAGGTGATGACAAGCATATAATTGGAAGCTGATGTGCAACATGTAGTGGGAGTTAAGAGAATGGAAGATCCATGTGCTTGATTTCCTGGAGAGGATTTGAGTTTGGCATTGAAAAAAGCATGGCATTACAGAAATAAAAGTAGGCATTTCAGGTTAGGTGAGTTCAAGGAGAGAATGGCTAGAGCAAAATGGGGCAAGTATTGTGGTTTGAAAGAGGGATTGCTTTCAAAGACCTCCCCCCCACACTTTATCACACATAAGCACAGATTTTACTCCCACAGCTATGAGAAATGAATAAGGAAGATCTCAGCCCTAGGAATCACAATAAAAAGCAAATGTAGATTTAGGATGTGTTAAGGCATATGTGTGATATGGGAAGGGTGGTGAAGGGCAGATAAATAGTTCAGAAGCCAAGGAAATATACAGTGTGAAATATTAAAGATTAATAAAGATGAAGTCCAAAATGTGGTTATATTTTTAATGCCTAAGACTTAATGGAAATGAAGATCATCGACATTGAGAAAGTCAAGCAAGTGTGAAGCAGGTATGTTGGATCATGGAAGGGATGCTGAAGTCATGAATAATGAGGCCAGGTGGTGAGGTAAAGAGGATTATGATACAGTTGCTGAAGTCATAGATAAAAGTTTAACCTGGAGTTGGTTTAGGGTTGGTCAAAAGAGAAACAACCAAAATGGAAAAAAGTAAGTGAGATGGATTCTAAAAGATATTGTGGTCATGGCAGCAAGTGATTGACACAGAGGTTGAAATGGGGAACTAAGAAAATGCTCTTCACTTAGTGAGTTGGGGATGAAGGGTAGGATATGGGAGAGGGAGATGGCCTCCCAAAAAGTAGATATAGAAGAAAGACAAAATATGCCATTAAAGGAAAACCAGGACTGAGGTTAGGCAAGTAGATGGTAAAGTTTGACTATAGGCATTTTTATTGACCATAGAAGAGGAAGTTCAGGACATTGAAAGGGCTACCGAAGGGGAAATTGAGGCTGAGGAAAGATAAGGATGGCAGTAGGGCTGGATTAGGACAGGTCTGTAAGAGCATCTTACTTGTCTTTGAAAAAGCAACTCAAGCAACATCTCTTCTCACAAACTTTGCTTCCTCTCTACCCCAGCTGTTCCTCTTTTGTGTCATCTTACCTCAGAACATTTATAAATCTATGTTTAATTCTTGGTTTTCTCATCTGCTTCCTCTCCTGTGCAATAAGCTTCTTGAAAGGATTGAGACTTTTTCATCTTTGTATCCCAAAGCCTTAAAGTTCCTGGGCAGAGACAATTCTTAACATATCTTTGTTGGATGAAGAAATGAATGAATGTGAATGTGGAAGTGATATATACCACTGGCACATAACACTCCACACCCCTTGCCCACAATGTTTATTGGGTTGGTTTACTGTCATTGTCCAATGGAAGTATAATGTGAGCTATAAATGTGAACCACAGCTATAAGTTAAACTTTCCAAGTGCACATTTTATTTAATCAAATATATAAAATATTATTTCAACATAAACTCAGTATAAAAATTATTAATGAGGTATTTTAGATTCTCTTTTTGTACTCTCTTTGGAGTCTGGTGTGCATTTTGACACTTAGATCACATCTCAGTTCAGGTTAGGCATGTTTTAAGGGCTAAATAGCCACATGTAGCTAGTGACTAGATAGTATAATTCTAGATTCTAGAACATACATCGTTCTTTCCCTTTTGATGGCCTCTACACTTTCCTCTGTTTAGGTTACTCTTCCTCTAGCTCTTCTAAAACATATGTATTTTTATTATATCATTCATAAAAGGCTATAGACACAACATGTAAACATATGTAAATATTTATATACGCACTATATGTAAATTTTATAGAGATTGACACAATGAAGGTTTATTTCTTGCACATTCAAAAACCAATATAGATCAAGTAGGTATTTACCATTTGGGAGGGATAAAGAGGTAAGAAGTATGTGTAGGATGTTTGCAAAGGCTAGGGCTGGAAAATTCCATTGCCTTAATTTAGCCATATAATTTCACCCAGATGCGAGAAAGGCCAACAGATATAGTTTCCTGTGTATCCAGATAGAGAAAATGGGGTGATAGACATGTATCACTGCTTCTGACACAATTTTATAAATTTTTATTCCTAACTTTTCTAGCCAGCATCCAGAGAACAGGACTAAATATTACATAACAATGATGATAAAAAACACTTAAGTCTTATTCCTGGTTTTAATAAAGTTCTTTCAATGTGTCTCCATTGAATAAGATGATAGATTTGGGGAAGAGACTTGTGTATTCTATCATTCTAAGGAAGTTTGTATTTCTTTTATTGTCAATAAGGTTTTTATTTTATTTTATTTATTTTTCAAAGGTTTATTTGTTTTGAGAAAGGAGAGAGAGAATGAGCAGGGTAGGGGCAGAGAGAGAGGGTGACAGAGAATCTAAGCAGTTTCTGCACTGACAGTGCAGAGCCTGACAGGGGCTCCAACCCACAAACTGTGAGTTCATGACCTGAGCTGAAATCAAGAGTCAGAAGCTTAACCAACTGAGTCACCCAGGCGCTCCAGGGTTTTTATTTATTTAATGAGTAATATAAGTTAAAATTTATCGACTATTTTTTCAGCAACTGTAACTTAATATTGTGAATTATATTTATAGATTTTTAAAATATTGAGCTATTTTTTTCTTACCTCTAGAACAGTCTAACTTATTGTGATATACATGTATATATGTATGTATGTATGTATATATATATATATACACACACATACATGTATATATATATATGTATATATATAGTATTTTTGACAAGCTGGATTTTGTTTGCTGCTATTTTATCTAAAAATTTTGCATGATATTCAGGAATAAGATTGAACTATAGTTTCTCTTTTTATTAATTTCATCAGATTTTATAATTCTTAAAATGATTTTTGGAACTTTATCTTTCTCTAGTTTCTTGAGCTGCTCAAGTTGCATCTGGATTAACTGATTCTTCAAAGAGGAAAAGAATTCCTCTGGGCTTGGGCCAGTTATTTTTGCTGTGGGTCTGTGCTTCAAGCATATTGTCACTGGGCAATCAATACCCATTATATCATTGATTACAGCTATAGCATTCAAACATTTTTAATGAGAATGTTTTTACTACTTTCATGCACTCTTTATAGCCCTCAGTAAGCTCTTTTAACATAGCACTCTGATCTTATTTATTGTTGCTATACCCCGAAAATTATAGCAAAAGCAAAAAAAAAAAAATAGGGTTTTTAAATGCCTTTCCAGTTTTCTACATTTCCTCTGGGTGCTTCCACTACTTTACTGAGCTGTAATTGTTTACTTTCTTCCTCTTTTGAAGCTACTGACTCTTCTCATGTACTCAGCCTTTATTGCTTATCTTTATCCATGTAGGTCAAGTTAAGCAGTACTCCTGATATGCATTCCTTCAGTATTCCAGGAGGTCTGGGCAGGGATAGACCAGTGAATGGCAAGCATACCAGGGCATGTCTCGTATTTGGGACAAGCAGTCCAAGAAGCAGGGTCCACTTCCCCCTTCCCCACCTCTCCCGCAGAGAGGAGGGTGACTATGGGGTCTGCAGCTTTTCTCAGGATGCAGCAAGTGAGAATATATGATGAACCTCTCAAGTATGCTGAATGAGATTAATGTGGCATTCTGAGTCCCTCTGGATCATGAATCCTTTTGTAAGTTTTATCTTAGCTGAACTGAGTAATGTCTCTTGTGGACAGCTTTTCTTTCAGTTGCTCTCCCCATAGTTATTTTGAAAGCTCCTTCTTTCTCTGACAATGTCTTTTCTACCCCTCCAATTATATAGGGAGTTCCTACTATTAAGGGTTGTTTGTCATAGAAATTTGCGTACCTCCTCCCCATGTTTAGTCACAGTGTGGTGGGCATGTGATGAAGTTCAATGTAAACCCATTTTGGTGTAAATGTGTCCAGCATGATAACTCACCAACCTGGTCCCATTGATTGGTCCAAAGGGTGAACAATGAGCCAAGCCAGGCCAATTAGAGCCCTGCTCTGGAAGTTTTTTGGAAGTAGGTCTTGAATCATCAGGCTGTGAAGATGCGAGTTTAATGGATTTAAATGGCCAGCTCTCAGATTACAGGGGGAAAATCTAATAAGAGAACACAAGCTGACATGCTGAGAGAAACAGAGTTGTGACTACTTGGTTCTGGTAAGAGTTTCCTGGAACATTCTAGTTCTTGCTTTCTCTCAGCTGTGTAATCCTTTATGTAATTCTATGAGCTGCCCAAATAAAGCCCCCTTTGACCATGTCAGTTCCACCTGGCATTTTTCATTCTAACCAAGAGTATGATGAGTATGGGCTTTCTCTCTCTGTCATTCTCTCTCTCTCTCTAAGTATATACATATATATACTTAGCCCTTTCACTCCATGGAAATCTAACTCTTGCAGTGTTGATTTCTGGGACTTGGACAATATTTTCTCTTCTATATTCATTGAATTGCCTCAGTGGGAACAGAAGAGGGACAGAATCAAATGCCACCCTAAGATAACTATCTTGGAGATATATCTATATTTGTATATCCATATTGATATGTCTATACATACATATATATCTATTTATTAAACATTGCATCTATGTTAATTTTTTTCTTCCTCCCTTTGTTACTCAGTTCTCCTGATTTTCTTTCTCTTTGTGAACTACAAACAGATTTCCCCCCAAACACTAAAATTGGGAAACTGGGAAGAAATTAGATTTTTATAGTAATAATACAATAGGATTTGATTCCAAAAAACCATATGTAATGGGACATCACCACCACACAAATGTTATTTCAGGAAAAAAAATTAAGTGTCTAGTGACTTCAGCAGTGAGGTTTTGGGGCTCGGACTGGTGCAGGCATTGAGCACCTGGTATGATCTGGGCACATGCTCATCATGCTGGAATAAATTCCTAGGCAGTCCCTGCACTCTGATGCAAGTTAGTAATTTAACCAACCTTTTCCACAGGCCCTCTGGCATCCATTTAAAATTTGCAAAAAATATTCCATTATTACAGCAGCTAAAAATGGCTCTTTGTGCTTGTTGGTAAGCAAAAACTGTACGGAAATCATAAAATTTGAGCCACTGTATAATGTGGTATTTTTGTTCTTGAGAAAAAAGCTTTTTTTCCCAAAAACCTGAGAAGGCAGAATTAAGATGCTTAATCTGTTCTGATAACATACTTGAGCAATTTTTTATTTGAAGCAGAATTTTGTTCTTCAGGTGTTCTTATTGTTGGTAATTAGCAATTGGCACTTACAGTTGGTAATAAAGTTGCACAAAGTTTAACCAAGGTTGGGACTAGTCTTACCACCTTTAACTACACATCCCTTTCTTGGTCCTTCTCTGACAATTCTATCTGGACACTTCTTTTTCCTGTAAACACCCCACTGACAAAAAAGTCTTTGAACTGTCTTTCTGTCTCTACCTAGCTGCCTTGCTGTATGCCTAAAACAAAACCGATATGCGTCCATACTAACTGTATCTGAGGAGTTTGCTCTAGTGCACCGCAACATGTACACTGGGTGAGAGGAAGCAGGCAGCCTGAGTTTCTCTGGTTCTCTTGGTCCCTTATTTCTCTGACAATAATCCCCACACCTCAGTGCTTGCATTTACTTCCAGATTTTATCTGAGCCATTTTTCTTACTTAGAACTCCGTCTTTTATTTAGAACTGTCACTCCAAGTCCAGTCCATTTTTTTCTGAACTCTAAACTTCCACCTTTGAAAGTGGACCTTCCCTAACCTCCTTTGTTTTAAATCCTTCTTCCACTCACCTGTCCCTTGGAGCCTCAGAACGCTCCACATGTTATACCCCTGGATGCATCACCTTGTCTACCACTACGTTGTTCTCTGTGCATGTGGTATAACTCTCAGCTGCAAACTTCTCTGATGCCTCTGGCAGCCCTTTGGTAGTAATAGCACTAATATAAAAAAGCTAACATGGGGGGTTTGTTATACTCCAGACACAATACTAAGTAATTTACCGGCAAGGTATTTAGAATACTGTTTGGCACATAGTAAGTAATTAATAAAGATTTGTTATTACTGCTATTTATAGCCCTATGAACTTGATGTTATTTTTATCTCCACTTCACAGATAAGGAAACTGTGAGGCACAGGGAGTTACATAACTTGTACAGGATCACAGAACTCATTAAGTGCCAGAGACAGAACTTGATCCCAGTCTGTTTGATGCCAACATTTATCCATGTTCTTAACCACTACAAAAAAAATTGGCTAAATGCACATACACCAATGAATCTTTTTCATGCAGTTTTCAAAACAGTGTAAGTTGTACTCAATACAGGTTTTACTTCGTAACTCTTCTCTTTTAAAATTTGATGTCCTTATAGATATAATGAAAAAGTCACAAGTATTTGTGCCTCCCTGGAGAGTGTTGTTTTGAAATTTCAAGACCATTGAAATATGTGTCCTTAGGGAGAACGAGGAGTCTTTAAAACTTCTAAGTTGCTGTGGAATTGCAGTTTTTGGTTTTTCATTTGTTTGTTTTAACTGTCCATATGCCCTCCGGTCGGCTTTTTGAGTTATATTTTCTTCCATAGTTTTTAGCCAGCAATCCCTCGTATTTGCTCTGGTAGAAAGAGCTAGACTATTTCAAGGGCTAAGCAATATTAAGGGTTTGTGGGTATGTTTATAACATACATGATTAATAATAATAATAGAGATTCAACACTGATCATGTCGTGCATCTTACTTCTTAAAGGTCTTTCATCTGATGCTCATCATTGCTCTGTGATGTTACGGCTTTTCTCCCAATCCTGGTGCTAGATTGGAGAAATGACCACTTCTGCTGTTGTCCCCTAGAGTTCTACAGTCGAGTTTCCCTTTCTTCTGAACTCCTCTCCTCCTCCTCCGTCCCACGTGTCGCCGCCTGCTTCTTCCTTAGCTGTCAGAGCCTGCTTGAAGGGAACCGAAGCTCGCTGGACCCCAGGGCCCGAGGCCTTCGGAAAGGCTCCCGGGGCCCTTGGGGACCTGTCAGGTGACAGATTCTCAGCCCAAGCAGGCCGGGTGCCGTAACCCTTCCCACTTAGGCAGCAGCCCGGCGGGCACCCAGATCCCATCCCTGGAAGCAGCAAAACCCTGGGCTCCACCCACCCCTGCGGCCAGAAGCCGGCACCACAGCTTGCCTCCGGATTTCCACCCGGGCGAACGAAAGGGCTCAAGGCGGTTACAGATGCCGGAGGCGCGGGGCGAAAAGCGGTGTCCTTTAGAAGAAAGTTGGTTTCTTACAGGGCCTGCGGTGGGCGGCACGGCCGCGCTCCACCTGGGGAAGGAGGCGGCTCCCGCGCGCGGGGCCTCGCGGAGGCGCGCGGCGGGCCGGGAGCGGGGACTGGGAAGCCGAGCGCAGCGGCGCCGCGGGGTCGGCTCGCGGCCGGCGGCGCGCCCAGGTTGCCTCCGGAGCAAGCGGCGTGCACAGCTGTCTTCCGTCGGGCGCGGGCTCGGCCGCCCTGCCTGCTGCCCTCTCTCCCGCCTCCCGCCCCAGAAATGATCTCAAGCGTTGCCAGTTTGATTCCAGAGCCCCGCTCGGGTGGGTTCTTTTGTTTCTTTGTTTTAATGACAGTTCCCAGCCCTTGGGCATGTCATGCGCGATTAATTCCCTGGCTCTGTTGAAGGCAGCTGGGATGAAATTTCTTCTGCATCATCCTTTTGGGGATAATTGCTTATAATGTGACGTCAGCCGGACTGATTTTTCTCTCTTCAAAGAGAGAGAGAGGGAGAGGCGGGAGGAGTTGGAGAGAGAGACAGACAGACAGACAGACTCACGGACGTGTGTGGAGGCCACAGACATTAATATTTGGGAAGGTGGGATTCCTTCAGGGCAAAAGGAGACGGGAATAGAAGCTTAAAAGTGTGCGGCTAAGACCTCAGATTGCAGGGAATCATTAAGAAGTTTTTCTTTAAAAAAAATCCTCTCCTCAGAGAGCCACTTAGGTGCTCCTTTCATGCCCGAGTCCCCCGTTAAGGTGGCAACGTCTGATAATTAATCTCGGGTACCCAGCCGCTGCAATAGGCTTAAGAAGACGAAGAGGAGGGGCGGGGAAGTGCGTCACCAGGTGGGGAAGGGGCTGTGCGTTGGGTGACAAGCGGGAGGGGTGGGGGTGGAGGGGAATAGGGACGGAAAATAGGTTCTGTGTGCTCTCCCGGGGTATTGTGTCAGGAGATGCAGGCTGGCTACCATGTGACGCGGTCCAGAGCTGAAGGGATTGGCCGAGGCAGCGCAGGCGGTGCAGCTCGGCAGGCTTGCCGTTCCTCTCCCTTTCTCTCGCAGCATCTTCCTGGGAGCCTGTAGGTGAAGCAGCACCAGCAGCATCCATGGCCTATCTTTGGGGTTAACACTTGTCTCATTTGGCTTCAGCAGTGGACGGAGCACACCTCTCGGCAGCAGCGTCGTGAGGACTCAGCTGGGACCTGGAATCGTATCCTCCTGTATTTTTTCAGACTCCTTGGAAATTAAGGAATGCAATTCTGCCACCATGATGGAAGGTAGGATGCTTTCTGCTGTGGTTGACTGGCTTCACGCACGGTTTGGGCAGAACAGCGTTGAAGAATGTGTGCAGCCTGTGTCTGTGGCTGCTCTAGAACCTGGTTGCCAGGATTTGCAAGCAGAAATGCTGCAGTTTGCTTGCAGCGGACCAGAGCTCAGACTAATGGAATCAGACCACAAGGCTTCTGTTTAGCTCAGAACCTACAGAGCTCGCAGCTCATTTGAGAGAGAGGGGGAAAAAAACAAAAAACAAAAAATCCTAAAGTGCTTCCAGGGAGCTGAGATAGAGCTAAGAAAGCTTGCAGAGCAAATAAGTTGGGAGGGAAGATAAGGTTTTCTGCTCAGGGTTCCTTGGACTACATTGATTAAACATTTACAATGGAAACTTGTTTTCTGAAATTGACATTAGATAGGAGAGGTCATTGACTGGGCTATCCATGCTGTCATTTACAGTGAACTGTTAAAAAATGTTTCTTAATTTTTGTAAGATATTTTTATCTCTGGAATTTACATCTTATTGTTGGGGTGAGAGGTGCAGCAAATTTGGTCCATAAACTATAGTTATATGGGGATGTCATTGCAACAGAATGAGCAAAATGAGGAAAATATCTGGGCCTCTTAGCCCTGGGTTCGGGGTCTTATCAGTTTAAAAAAAGAATGTTGTGCTTCCTAAATGCATTCTCGTGCAATGATTCTTAGCCAGGCTCCAAATGATTACTTACTGATTACCTTTTTGTGTTCAGTATTGAGTATAAGAAGGAACTTTCCCCGGGGACATGTTGTTTAAACTAGATTTTATTCTGCTAAATTACCCTTCCAAGCCTGAGATAGTGACAGCAAAGGTTGCCTCAAAAAAGCAGCAAGCTGATTAAGAAAGAAGCAGGCAGCTCTACCCGGGCTTTGATTTTGTTTTCACACTACAGGATGGTGCAAAACTCCTGGCCTTTCCTAAGATGACAGGCAGAAATTTGTCCCCAGCCTGGATTTCACAATGCAGAATCGAGTGCATAATAGGTCTCAAATCAGCCATGAAAATGGCAGAGAGGCCACCTCTTAAAGCCAAGGTCTGTCCTACAGATTTTAAACATTCCTTAGAAATTTACCAAAATGGAATCAGAGGAGGATGGTTTCAAAAAGCAGTGGTGTAGCCTGCACTTATTTGGCAGAAATGAATTCTTTTCACTCTTTCTGTCATCATGTCAAAAATTGTTAATGTAATTCAGGGGAGTGAAGAATTCTACAGTCATGGCCCACAGATTTTAGAAAATAGCCTTAGAAGAGAGATTGGGTATCGTTTTATTATGAAGCCTCGTCTTTTTGCAAAGGGCTCTCAAGCTAGTTCTTTAAAATACAGGTCTAAATAAACTGAAATTATGAATTCTCTAAGATTAAATCATTTTCATTAATTCCAAATGAATTTAATCTTTGAATAACAAGGTAGGACAAAGTATATTAGTGATACACTTTTCAATGTAAACTCAGGTGGATTACCCTCTTCAGAAAAAAAAAATCTTGTCTACAGAGGCACTGTATTTCTCCAGCTAAATTTCAGTGGTAGCATCTCTTAAAAAGAAATCTGCATACATTCTGATTAGGTTTGCATCTTACACACGGAAGTGGAAGATCATTCATTTTTACTTCTTACTTTACAAACTATGGAGTTCAAGCATCCTTTTTGAAGGAAGTCGCATTTATTGATGCTCATTAATGACTCTCCTGGAAATATTGTCTATTGTGCCATCCCAGATTGTCAGTTCAGAGCCCTATGATAAGCTTATCTGAGCAGCCTAAACTGAAATGAGAACTGTAACAAAGACGTGTGTAGAAGCTGAATTAGCACTATTGCTCTGGTTTTGCCAGATTTATCTAATGAAGGATGTTTTTTTAGCACTGTTTTGAATTAGAGGTGACATTATGGATGCAGTTGCCTTCCATCAGATCCCTGCAAACGAAAATGGACAAGTGTTACCATTGGCTTCAAAATTTACATGAAACTAGTAATTTATATCTACCCACAGTTCCTACTTAAATGCTTTTCAAGTCTTATTATCTTAATGGTTCCTGACCTTAGAAAGGCAGGTAGGAGTTTTAACCAGCAATCAGTTTGCCTAGCAATAGCATTTCCACTTAGTTGCCAGTCTTTTTGGCAATATGTGCATGTTTCTGATATTTCATCCCAGAATTTCATCCCTCCAAATAGCTCTTATTCTGAAGATGTGGCATCGCAGTTATTATATACACTTAATTCACCCCTAGAGGAAGTTAGCCTGTTCTATCTATCACAATAACCTTGGAAAGATAAGGAACCCCCTAAAAGTCACCCTAAAATTCCATCATGGAAGCCTTCTGCTGAAACCTCAGTGGGCTCTGAGAATGTGTCACCCAACAGTAAGATAGTTAAAATGATGTCTCTCCTCAATTAGTACATGTCTCACACAAACACATACACACACATACACACACACACACACACACACACACACTGTTTTACACACACATGTAGTCATCAACACATGTACATTATTAAGAAAGGGAAAGAGCCTACATTTACATTGTGTGTATATATATATATTTCTATATTCACCAAAGTCTGTTAGTCTGCTGCTCAGGAAAACCATGGCCATGGCAACTTTTCAAAGCCACTTCTCTACTTTGTGTAAAACAGGCGTAAACAAATAGTCTTCAGAATGGCTCATAGTTTAGTTTTGTGTTCTTGTTTTGATGGAACAAGATATGAGCTCCATTCATTCAATGCCTATGCAAAATTCTGGTCATAGATGAGGAACGTTACTACCTCCCCAGTGATACTAACATCATACAAGGTAGTGAAATAATTCTGCAGGGACCTCCAACATGTTACCACTAGTTTCTGGCCCCACGATTCCTTTCAAATATTCTTATTTAGAAACATGCATTCTAATTTTATATTTGATTCGTTTATTCCTGCAGTCTTTATTTTTTGGCATTAGTTGGTATTGAGTTGTGTCTTTCCTAAAGTATGCCACATGATATGGAGCCTTATGTGGTATGAATGTGAAGGGAAGGAGGGTGAGGACAGGGAGTTATATGCTTAAAGGCACATGCATGGGTTAAGCTGACAATGCCATCTATGTGATTTGTGCAGCTCTTCAAAGATTCTGTTGTTTTCACATATTATTATTAAAGCTTGAAAATGCCATTTTAGCTACCCCTTCCAAGATAAGTGAAGCTAAGTCAAGGTTTCTTAGGATGTCTGTTTACTTGTAGGGCAGCCTGGGAAGTTGTCCCTTGTCTTGAAGAACTGCACCAAAAATACTTGTTTTTAGTTCCCTGGTCGGGCTCTTAAGTACTGTACTGGAAGGATACGTTTTGAGGCACCAATGCTTTCATCCAGTATAACAATTTTTAAGATTAACAAGCCTATTGCTAAGGCCTGACTGGATATAATTGATTTAATAAGTTTCATTATATTTACTATTCACAATAACCTGTGAATAAGTGCATTCTGCATGCAGTAGTTTTGGTGTCCTTTTTCTAAATTGCAAAAATAAAAAAATAATATTTTGAGGCAGGAAAATGGCAGAATGGAATTTGAATGCAAGTTCATGTTTTTTTAAGTCAATTCAAGTTCTAATAAATGGTATAAAATGAATTAGAGTTCTTTATTATGTCATATATATATTACCTTCTTGAATTTTAGAGGAAAAAGAGTGAGCCTACATTGTCACCTGACTGTTTTGCCACCAGCATATTTACCTAAGAAGACATAATTACACGTTTTTCGTGAATTATCATAGATGGAGTTGAGAATTTTCTGGACCTGACCCAAATTTATTTAACAACAAAGCTCATATTTTTGACCCTTCATAACATCTTAATAGGGACTGTTTTTAAATTTGTATCAAGATGGGCATCTTAACCTAATTGAAAACTAGGACTCGATTTCTTTTGTGACATATTCTGTCTCTCTCTCTCTTTTAAATATGAATACTCACAGGACCATGCCTTTTAATTCCTCATTATTGCCTTTTATCCCCCAAATTATTGTCTAGACAATTTTGAAAAATGCTAGATTAATTGAACTTCTGTTTGTTGCAATGAACCTTTGAGGTTTTTTTTTTTTTTTTTTCTCCTCCGTCTAGAAATAGAGTTTTATTTATTTGGAAAATTCTTTGATGTGATTAAAAAAGGAACAAAGCATTTTTAAGCTGGAACTATTCATTTTCTAGTTAACTGAGAAGTTTTAAAGGGAATTCTCCTAACTTCCCAGAAATAGTGAAGTTATTTTGGAAAATCTTAAGCATGCATATGAGCTTCTAATACATGGGCCATCGTTTACGTAATTTCTCTCCTTCCTCAAGGCTCTGTGTTAGAAAGGGCCTTCTTATATGAGTAAGTTCCCATTCAATTCCAGAGATCGACTTTAAGTCGCTACAAAGAATATGCAGTTTTAAAAAAGTTATCTTAGGTAAACCATTCTAGAAGACTCTGGATAAATCTTTCTGTTGGATTTGACACATGCATTATCCATGTTTCAGATAAACAAATTGCAGGAAGTCACCAGATCACAATATTTTTGTTCCTGAAAGTTTGTTTATGAATTGCTCGCTTGAAACAATTTTCCCATAGGAATAATGGTATATATATGATGATTAAATTCCTACACTAGTCCTTCAAAGGCTATTAACCCATTATCTAGTTGAAATACTAAATATTTGCAGTTTAATGTGTGAAGAACAGTACCATTACTATAGCAAGTAGTCAGAAGAGAACAATTGAATTAAATGTGTTTTCAATTTTAAATGTTGCTATTTGTAAAAAAAAAAAAAAAAAAAGTCCAATTAGAGGACAGTGAGATGGAGAGAAAATCTGAAGGTAGTTTTTAGGTATATTTTCAGAAGTTTTAGAGACATGACACTGGATTTTCAATTATGTTCAACTTTACCTCCATACTTGTGGCTTACCTTTTCTCAATTCAATTTTATTATATATACTGCTGTTAAACTGTGATTACTTTCAT